TGTATAATATATCACCAAAACCCAAAAGCGCTTCCAGTAAAGTAGGCCAAATAAATTTTTGTCACGATAAAATCGATTCAGATTCGTTTTTAGAGTCCATTTGAACTCTTAAATACGAGTTTGCATCGTAATAAAAAAATATATACTTTTTTCGACTCAATTGGTTAGCAGGATTTTTTTCATACCCTTCACTAAAATATTCAGTACTCATTCTCAGTTATGTTCTGTAACATACTTTAAATGCCTAGTTTTCAAAATTTCTTAGTCTAAAGTATCATTAATTTTTTATTTGAAATAATTAACCAATTGACATTGTAAACTGATATAAAGAAAATCGTAAAATATAATGAATGAAGAAAATTGGTTGATAATTAAAGGAGAAATGTGAGTTGGAAGCAAGAGGAAAACAGCCGAGAGCCCCCGACCTCTGCCGATCCCTTCCATTAACTTACCGATACCCCTATGTACAGGATTTTCGTATTGTTAGTTTGACTTTTATGTATTACTTAACCATAACTTTGTTGAGAATTTACTAACCTTAAATTTTTTCTTCGACGAGTTTCGTGATTAATGTTTCCGATAAAACTAAGAATTTAAAAAAAAAAAATCCATTTTTCCACACAAAAATTAGTATTGTTTGGTCGTAAAAGGAAATGGAAAGTGATTCAAACTTATAAATTTAACAGTTTCGATCAGCAGAAAAAAACATGGCAATTAATAGTTTTAAATGAAGTATACCGTCGTTTTCACTTTGACTCTCCTGTATATGAAAATACCTATATAATCTAATGTTGATAAGTGAAAGTTGTGTGATACGCTCACCAGATAATCAGTATGAAACAAGTATTTTTCTATAGAAATACTATCGTACACCTGGCGGCCATTTTGTATCCCAGCGGCTATAGAATAGAAAAGTAGAAAAATAAATTTATTTTGGAGCAAATACCCTTAAGAATAACAATGTTGCTCATTTTTTTTTTTTTTTTTTTTTTAAACTTTTATTGAGATTAATACAGTCTGCCACACTGAAGGGCATTGGTACTAGGGCTATAGTATTCATTCACACTAATGTTGCTCATAAAAATTAACATTAGATCTTAAGAATAACAATATTGTTGTTACAAATTAACATTAGATCTTAAGAATAACAATAATGTTCATACAAATTAACATTAGATTAGGCCAAAAGACCTGTTAGAATAAAAAATAACTAAAACATAAGTAATAAGACAAATATATAGCAATAGAAATAGAAAAATAACTTTATTCTGGGACACAGTCCCTTGAGAATAACAAAATAGAACAAAATTAATATATTACATCTGGCCAAAATAAAATCAATCGAAAAAAAGAAATAATGTAAAAAAAAATATAAGGTAAAAATTCTATATACAAAACAAACTAAACTATATACAAAACCATTAATACTATGACAAGACACTTAAAGCTGTTTGCTCTTATAGACCAGTATACACTTTTACGAAAAAAATAAAGAATTAAAAAATAAAAATGTATCAAATTCTCTATTAAAATCAGCTCGAATGGTTAGCAAGTATCTGACTGTTTTTGAAATAGGAATTGGAATAGGAGGGTTTTGAATGTGGATATGGATGGGGAATGTCGAATTTTGATAGGGAGGGAATTCCAGAAATTGACAGAGCGAACAATAAAGGAATTTTGGAATGAGGCAGATCTGTGAGAAGGCATGTAAAGGTTAGAAGGTTGAGATCTTGTGGACAGGGAATGGACTGAGGATTTGAACTGGAGAAGGTTGTAAGCGTAAGAAGGACGATGGTTGTTGTTGATTTGGTAGAGAAACGTACCTAGGAAATACTGTCTTCGGAAGGAGGGGAAAAGCCACTTTAACTCAGCGTAGTGGTGAGAAACATGGGAGTATCTTGGGGCCCCGATCACAAATCTTACGCAGCTGTTTATTAGTCTTTTCAGTCTATCACGGAGCTCCACCGAGAGGCCATCATACACCACACAGCTATAGTCAAAGTGGGGGAAAATGAGAGAGGAAACTAGGAGTCTACGCGTATGTTGAGGTAGGAAATGGCGGAAGCGATGGAATAGTTTGAGGGTGGAAATTGTCCGTCGAGTGATATGAGAAATATGGTGATTCCAAAAGAGGTTTTGATCAATGAAAAATCCTAAATTTTTAACAGAGGAGTAGAAGGAGATTGGCTGATCATTAAGGTGAAGGATGGGAAAGTCTATACAAAGAATATACAATGGCAAAGGTGAAATTTTCTTTTCGAGATAGTGAGTATGGTCAATTTATATCATTAAACCCTAGTATGAAATAAGTCAACATTATTGCCACGGGCTACCAGACTAATACACGCAGTTTCTTTGTGCAAACATTTATTTCTTATTTACACATAATTATATATTTCTATATTTTTATTTTATAGATTTTCATGGGTTTCGTTTTAAGGTTCTTTGCTTTTCAATAAATTATATTCATTTTTTGTATACACAGTATTCGCCAAAGTCATCTTTTAATTTTGATTTTCGGAAAAAAATTAAATTATTATTAAGTGATATAATTTCTATGACCACAACTGTATATACAGTTAACTATTTCTGCATCTTCATTCTGGAATGAAATATTTTGGTTTTTCCATACCTTTTGTTGTTTTTTATTTATTTATTCAGAAATATAATAATCTGTCACACGGACAATAAGTATAGTGAGATAGTATAGTGACAATAAGTATAGTGAGATAGAACACATTCACACCATAAATACAGAAAACATCAAATTAACAAAAGTAAAATAATAATAAAAATCTATATACAATAAAAAAACAAAACAACATAAGTAACTTAATAAGATAAGTAAATTAAAAACATAAAAACACAGTCATACCTATATACAATACATAAAACCAGGCAGGGAACCCCAAGTTAGACTTGTCTCTCCAATTATTTAGGGGAAAACCGGACAAGAGATCTCTGTGCTACTCTCTCAACCACGTCACTGGTGCTGAAGTCAGTAGAGATTGAGCGAGAGCGCTTTAGCCAAATACACTCAGGTCTTGAGCGGAGAATTTGGCCATTGCCAGAACTACAAAAGTTCTCTGGGCCACTGGCCGCTTCTAACTTCGAGGAGGATTGTAAGGATAAGTGGAACTAGATAGGGATTGTGCAAAGGGCTTTGGATGATTTGTAATGTTCTGATGGAATTTGGATAAATTTTCAGGGATAAGGTCTAGGACAAATGGGATATTAAGGTCATGATGTAGAGTTTTGTTGGTTACATAGAACATCGTACGGAGCATCAACTATTGTTCGGATAACTTTGGACAAAAAGGATTGGACGCATTTGAGATTGGAAAATTGTAGTGTCAAGAGTTTTTTAAAGTGATATTTGACCACAGAAGGATTAACTGCTTGAGGGGGTAAGGATAGCGGAATGGTATGGGTGGGATTGGATTCCAGATGAAAGGTGAATGTTCTGGAGAGGGGTCTGGCAAATTTTTCAGCTTTGTATTCATCAGCTGCTGCCTAGGAGCCATCGCATCGGCTGAGGTGATGGAAATGTTATGGGACTTTAGGATTTTGTTGGTGATCTTCCATAGGTAATTCTCCGGAACAGGGGAGGAAGGAAGAAGTAAAAGGATTGGGATATGAAAGTGGCCAATTCCTATTTTAATCATTTACTGTAATAATTATAGGAGCAGCCATCATGAAATTATAGGAGGGATTGGTGTACGATGGCAGCAGTACCAGCATGTGTTCTACCTTCAGGATGGTCAGGTAAGGTATGTTATGTAGTGTGGAATTTTCAAAAGCTGTTTTCTGGTCAGTCGAGTTTCTGTAATTAGGGATACGTCAATGTTCTTGTCTATTAATGAGGCGACGTGATTTCTAAGACAATTCACATTCCAAAGGACAATAGATATGTGTTTGATGAGAGTCATTTAAAGATTTTTTACAGGAGGAATGAGGTGAGATATGAGATTTGTAAAGAGTGATATAAGTGGGGTAACCATTGATTTAACTCAATGAAGAATGATGACAACAAACTGGTGAGATCTGTGGCATTAGAAGGAGGAGAAATAAGAAGAATTTGAGGTTGTTGATGGTTAGGAATAATAGGATATTGAGGTTGGAGTTGCGGCAGAGATTCACATTTATTTTTGGATATAGGCTCCTATCTCCAAGTACTTCGGAGAATGATATATCAATATTTACTATTCTAGAAGGTCCTCTTCTTGGTCTGGTTGTCTCATCTTGAATCCAGGTCTTCTGGTATCTGGATTTGAGATTCTTATTAGTTTGGCAGCCTATGTAGTTGGCCAGGTGTTCCTCAATGCATAGGGCACAAACTGGAGGATCTTGTATAGGTTTGGTGCACTCTGTTGAGGCAAGAATAATTGCCAGAGCAGATTTTGTTTAGTTGCGTACACGATAATTAGAAATTGTTTACTAATATCGGAGGAGGTCTCGGTTCCCTGGGTATTGCTGAAGACTCCATTACTCCTCTGTCATTCTGCAGCACTTGGAATGGGTATGGAGGGGATTCTTCAACCATTTCTTTCGAAGACGTACCTGGTTGAGGCTGAGGTTCTGGATCTGAAGTTTTCAGTTAGGTCATTGGAGGTGTTTCTCGTAAGCTGCAACGAGTTCTTATTTCGGCTGGTGAACCACGAGTGGTAGAGCCGTCTGAATGAATCCTCTTAGTGGGCACCTTACTGGGCATCACTTGGTGATGAAACCTCATATCATAAGATCAGAAGAAAAAAAAATCAAATAGTAAATATCAACTGCTCTGATGTACACGAGAACTGTATTCAGTAAATAATCAGAGATTTTTCGCTGAAAAATAGTCAAAAACTGAGAGGTGAGTTGAGAACATAACCTTCCACCAGCTGATCCACTTCCTTCTTTATTGTTTTAAATTCATTCGAAGTTGGATTGTTTGAAATAGGACACCTTATATAAGATAGGAGAATGTTTAAAGTTAAATAATATATATATATATAAATTACCTCTCATTATGTAGTTCCTAGTGGAAGCCCCAAAATGAAAAGTTGAATCTGGAGGTAGCTGAGTAGGTTTGTGTGATTCAAGTCGCAATGAACCAATAAATGTGCCATGAGCTGTAAGTTAATTAAACAAGGAAACATTGAATGTTTATTTTAAAATACAGCTAAAGTAGTGAGACATAATAATTGAAACTTATGAAGAAATTAACTCTATAATAAAAATAATAAATACAATTTTAAAAAGCTATGTATATTGCATTGGTGTACCGATCAGAGGTTTTAAGCTGAAAAGGAATTTGAAAACGCAACATAAATCTGTAATAATAAAAACACACATTAGATCCGAATAGTCTTACTTTATTTTTACTTTACATTCAATCTTTCAGCCTTTGGGCCATTTTCATGAGAAGAAATCTCTTAAGAAACCAAAACCAACATCATAGCCTTATTAAATTTGTTCATTAATTATATTCAACATCAGTTTTCTACTTAATTACCTTATTTTAATATAAAAATGAAATTATATAGGCTAAATTTCCCTTGACACAATAATTAATTGTCTATTACTAAAACGTCCACTCATGAGATTATGTTTATTTGAACATTTTTCATTGTCATTTTAATTCATTTCAAATTACATTTTTTATAAAAATTACATTACTTGAAATTTAAAAAGTAGAATCCAAAAATATTAATAGTGAAATCGTACAAAACTTTTGTTTTTCATTTATTGATATTTATAACTGTATACATATACAATACTTAAATCTTCTAAAATATTATAAATAAACCACGATAAAAGCTTGTAAAGCAATTACCCACTGGTAGCACTTCAAAGATTAAATTAATTTAAGAGGTCATTTGGCCATATTCTTTTCAGTCACCTCGGAGGGTTGTCAGGAAATGTTTTGGATGAAAGGTTATGAACTAGAGGGTTAGGGTGACACTGATATTGTTCAACTTAGCCCTGGAGAAGGTAATAAGAACAACATAACAGGAACATGGAGGGGTCCACGTCAGAATGAATCATAAATCCTTGGAGATGCAGATGATATAGCTGTCCTTGGAGGTAATCATCATTGAGAAACTCGCTAAGACTCTGATAAGAGAGGCAGAGCAGATCGGTCTACAAGTAAATGAAGACAAAACAAAATATATGATAATAAGCCGAAAATTACACTCCAATAACCGGATCTGCGTAGAAGGAAAATCGCTGTGAGACCTGGTCACTAACCAGAGCACCTTAGAAAAAAGTGTTGACAGATTTGAAGGGAAACTCCTACGCACGATAACCTGAAGGATCTGGGATCAGAGTACTCACACATGGAGAAGAAAGACCAATAAATAACTGCTTACAGAAACTGGTCAATCAATATCCAATGATATGAAGGCACAGAAGTTAAGATGGGCGGGGAATGTAGCTCATAGCGATCCATATGGAAGCCTCTACATAAAAATGTATGCCTCAATAGAAGGCAAAAGACCACGTGGAAGGACAAAAAGCTGATGGATAGAGAGAACCAACAAAGATGCAATAGAGCTGCGTGCAGATAACTGCAAACAAATAGCCCAAGACAGGTAGAGATGGAGCAGGCTTGTTAAGGCGGTAAAAAGCCTATATAGAATAGAATAGAAAAATAATTTTATTCTGGGACGAAGTTCCTTCAGAATAACAAAAAAGTACAGAATTTAAAATTTTATATCTGGCCAAATAAAAACAAACCTAAAAAGTTAGGATAAAGATAAATCAGTAAAAAAAAAGAAAAAAAAATATTAGTTATACATACTATATACAAAACTCTTGAAACCATACTAAGATACTTAAAACTATGTACAATGTTAAAATATAAATAAACTCTTTTAGAAAAAATAAAAAATACAGAAAAAATAAATGTAAATTCTTCTTAACAGTAAAATCTGTGTTTCTGTTGAAAAAAAAAAAAAAAGAAAGAAAGTCGAATCTATAATAAGTATTTAGGTTATGAGCTATATGTGAATATGTTATTATAAATAATATGCAATTTTACATAAAAGGTTAGCTGGTATCTGACTGTTTCTGGGGCAGGAATTGGAATAGGAGGGTTTTGAATGTAGATAAGGATGAAGAATGTCGAATTTTGATAGGAAGGGAATTCCAGAAACTAACAGAACGAGCAATAAAGGAGTTTTGTAAGGAGGCAGATCTGTGAGAAGGAATGTAAAGGTCGGAAGGTCGAGATCTTGTGGAGAGGGAGTGGACTGAGGACTTGAATTGGAGAAGGTTGTAGGCGTAGGAAGGACGATGATTGTTGATGATATGATAGAGGAATGTACCTAGGAAATATTGTCTTCGAATGGAGGGAAAGAGCCACTCTAACTCAGTTTAGTGGTGAGAGACATGGTAGTATCTCGGAGCACCAATTACAAATCTTACGCAGCTGTTTATTAGTCTTTTCAGTCTTTCACGGAGCTCCACCGAGAGTCCATCATACACCACACAACTGTAGTCAAAGTGGGGGAAGATGAGAGAGGAAACGAGGAATCTACGCGTATGTTGAGGTAGGAGATGGCGGAAGCGATAGAATAGTTTGAGAGTAGAAACTGTCCGTCGGGATATGTGAGAAATATGGTGACTCCAGGAGAGGGTTTGATCAATAAATAGCCCTAAATTTTTTATAGAGGAGTAGAAGGAGATTGGCTAGTCACCAAGGTTTAGTATGGGAAAGTCGGTATAGGATCTAAGGAGGGGCTTGGAACCAATGACAATGGCCTGAGTTTTTGAAGCATTTAACCTTAATCCGTTTAAGTCTGCCCAGGCACAGATTCGATCTAGGTCTGCTTGGATCTTAGTAAATACTACCAATAGCTCAGGGGGAGAAAAGGATAGGTATATTTGAGAATCGTCTGCATAAAGGTGGTGGGAACAATGGAGAATTGAGTTATGGAGGTCATTAATATAGGAACTAAAAAGGAGAGGAGATATGCTAGATCCTTGGGCAACTCCAGAGGATAAACGCAGGTAGGCAGATAGTGGTTGATTAGGAATGGAGACTGCTTGGGTGCGTTGTGAGAGAAAAGATTGGAACCAAGAGATGGAGCTATTGGAGAAGGAAAGTGATTTTAGTTTGTTGAAAAGGATGGGATGGTTAATGGAATCGAAGGTTTTAGAGAAGTCAAGAAGTATAAGGACAGTTAATTGTTTATTATCTATTGCAGTCTGAACATCATTGGTAATTTTGATTAAGGCTGATTGTGTGGAGTAGCCGGAACGGAAACCAGATTGGAGAGGATCAAGTTGGTTGGACTTTTCGAGGAAATTAGAGACTTGGGATTGCACCAATCTTTCCAGGGGTTTGAGAGATTGGAAAGAATTGAGATTGGGCGAAAGTCTTCGGGAGAGGATGGATTAGGCTTTTTATTTAAAGGGATTACAATGGCTTTTTTCCAAGAGGAAAGGAATATTGAGTTCTGTAGGGAGAAATTGTAGATGAAAAGGAGAACTGGGAGGATTTCGGGGAGACATAATTTTATCAATTTGACAGGAATGCCATCTGGTCCTATGGAATTGGTGTGGGATTTCATTATTGCGGTTAGTAAGTCAGTCGGGTAAATGTTGGAGAAATAAAAGTCATCATCATTAAATGATGACTCAGCAGCAAAGTAGGAAGAGGAGGGAAGAAAAGAGGTAGAGGAGGCAGAAATAAAATGTGAATTTAAATCGTCAGGTGAAACGGAAAAGACCAGTGAGGAAGGGGGTCTGGAAGGTTCACAGAGGGAAAGTTTGCGAAGGATTAGCCATTTAGATTTGGGATCTGGGCCAGATGAAAGGGCTTCATGGAAGTAGGAAGCTTTAGTTCGCGGAATTCTTGTTTGTGTCAAGTTGCGGAGCACCCTAAACGCTTGATAGTCATCTGTAAGCCTGGTACGTCTAAAGCGTCTACGGGCAGCATCACGCCTCTTCTGTAGATCCTTAATCTCTTGACACATCCAAGGTGCAGGCCGGCGGCGAAAGGTTGAGGTTTTTATGGGAGCATGGGTGTTAAGGATATTGGAAGTCAGGATCTCAACCATGGAGTCGATGGAGGAGCAGGAATATATTTCGTTCAAGTCTAAGGTTTCAAGGTCATATTATATTTTATTAGGATCATGTTGTGAGACGATAAGAAGGATACTGGCAGTTGAGAAGAGGAGAGGAGATTTAGTTCAGAGTCTATAATGAATAAATCTAACCAAGTGTCGGCCTTGTGGGTGTGGTGAGTAGGATAAAAAGGAATAATAAAGAGATGGAGGGAAAAGAATAGGTTTTCTAGATAGGTTTTGTCTTTGGAATTAGAAAGGAAATTGGTATTGAGGTCACCGGCGATGATTATTCTAGGATAGAGGGGAACAAAGCTGAGTAGAGTTGATTCTAAGGACGGATCAAATAGAACAAGGAGAGGACGGTAGATCACTGTGTAAAGGAGAGGGGACCACACCACGCGCAACATCCTCCGCACTAAGAGGTATTTTTAAACTTAATATTGAAAAAATTAAAAGCCGGAGACTAAGAAATGTGCTGCAAGAAACGGCACTGAACTAATGATACTGAATAAACATTTTGATTCCATAGAAAGTAAACATTGGAATCTAGAATCATTTCATTGAATTAAGGATTAATGGTTATTGTTCTCTATATTAACATTCCTAATTGAAAACAAACAAAAAAAAAATACCTATTTATTCATTAAAAACAATAGACAAATCCAAAGCAGAAATATTTTTAGATTAAAACATGAAAAAATCAAGTGGGTGAAATTTCTTGCCTGTCAGTGTATATATAGTTTCTTTATTTGATTTCCATGATCAAACATCGAAATGTTTTATTAAATTTTCATGATTGCTTTAATAGCATTGTACTTAGCTTATCTTTATTTTCATTTTAGAAGTTATTATTTTATTTTATCTATTGTTTATTTTATTATATTTTATCTATGTAACAAGTGTAAAATTGATTTCATTATATTGTTTATGTTTTTATTATTGATGTGTATAAGTGTTTCAAAATCATTTTTTTAAATACAGCCCACTTTCTTTTAAATCACAACTGACTTTAATTCAAACAATAGTTAGGCTTCATTCGAAGTTTGATTTAAACT